ATGGTGGTAGAGAGTGGCTAGGATGCCAGACGAGTGCAGACTCAGTGGCAGCACTGCGTAGTACTTTAATATCAGGGGCTAAGTGTTAGAGGAATTTCGTTTTCCCCAAGTACCCATGATTACCAAGAACTCAAGAGCCCAAAATATGAACCAAAAAGCCAACTTACTAATTTACCATGAGAGTTCTAGCTACTGAGAGCTCTACATATTTGTATTTTTCCATGTGAATACATTCTCATCCTGTAGGAAAATCTAATATCAGTTCAGAAGTTTTGGTAAACATGTGGACTCGGAGAAAGAAAGGTTAATGTAACATTCTCTTGTTCTTACATTTTAATTAATCAATTTTAACACAATGCACACAGAAGCCAAATGTACACAAAACTTTAAAATGAAGTCAGTCTTCCCTTGATCTCCTTGGTCCAAGCTCAGAGGCACTGAGTTTGTTGTTGCAGCTGTAAAAAATGATCAGAAGCCTAGTGCCTTAAAACAGAACAAACGTACTATCTTATAGTTCTGGAGGTGAAAAGTTCTAAAATCAAGGTGCCGGCAGGACTATATTCCATCTAGATGCTCTAGAGCAGATATCTCCTTTTCCAGTTTCCAGAGCCCACCTGCATTCTTTGATTTACAGCCCCTTCCTCCATCGTGAAAATGGCATCTTCATATCTCTTTCTGATTTCTTCCTCACATCTCCTTTTTTTGATCTTCTTTCTTCCTTTTTACACAGGCTCTTGGGATTTATTATATAGGGACCATTGGATTATCCAGTGTTATGGCTTTTATCTAGACATCGCTCAAAGCCTCATGCACTCATAGGTGGGCGTTTTGGAGGTGGCTGTATATAAGGTGTATGAATATGGCTTAAGGATGTGTGATAAATAAATTAGTCCAGTGACTGGTTTAGCATAGGTCTTGGTGCAGATGATGGAAAAGCCCACCCTGGGTGTGGGTGGCACCAATCAATAGGGTTATAACCTGATGAGATAAGAGAGGCTGCCTCATGCTTACCCTCCCATGGACTGTTTCTCCTCTGTGATGTCCCTCTACCATGCTGCTCTGCCTTGGAGCCAGCCAACTATGGACTGAAATCTTTACAAACTGTGAGCTGAAACAAACCTTTCCTCCTTTAAATTGTAGGTATCAGGTATTTTGTCCCAGCAATGAGAAAGTAACTAAGACATCCAGGATAAACCTCCCATTTCAAATCCATAATTTAATCACACGCAAAGTCTCTACTTCTAACAAAGGTCATAGTTTGAGGTTCTAGATTGACATGATTTGGGGGTGGGCGGATACTATTCAACTCACTACAATTCACCTCTTGTAGAATAGCTTTCCTAGCAAGTTCTGGGAGTCTCCTGTCTTTGTATAAAAATCAGCTTTGTCCTGAACTTGTGTATCTGTGTTTGGGGCTTTGAGAATCTGAGTATCAAGAAATACAGAAAGCATGAAAATCAATAGTCTTGACTTGTGTAACCTCTAGCCTCTAAGCACTAACCTGGTTCCTCTTCATAAGGAAAAAATCATGTCCTTGTGTTTCATGTCTATATTATATGCATGACACTGGAGCCCTTATGGTGCTTCCCACAAGGATATTTGGCATTTTTTGAAGAAGAAGAGAGAAAAAAAGTGCTGTTTGGTATCATGCAGCAGTGTCTGTGATTGCAAAGTATCTCTCCTATTAGACAATTCCAATTTAAAACACAAATGAACTTTGATCAAAGTGACCCAGGCTGGCTTTTCTGTTTGATGGTTTCAATCTCAGGCTTCTCCATTACAAATGAGTATAATACAACAGGATTTTGACAGAATAGGGGTAGAAGTTTTTAATTCCTACCTGCGACTTCTAGCTCTAGGGCATACTTGCAGAGAGAAAAGCAAAATAACTTAGTTGTAGGATCTGAAAATATGTTGAATTTCCTCCTTGGGTTTTTATGCTCCTAGGCATTCAACAGATTACTTTCTCGCAAAAACAAATAAGGTCTCTGGTCCCAATTATGAGCTTTACAAAACCTATCATATTTATTGTGCCTTAAGGGTGAGAACACTTGAAGGGAAAACTTAATGTTCAGTCTCAGTAATTATTTGCCTAGATATTTGTTGTATTCAGACCATCTCTCTGTGTCATTATATGTTGTTTCCATTTTAGATTTTATTGTATATATAATTTTCACATCATTCCTGGATTATTTTGCCCCTGTATTGGCTTCTGGGGTTGCTTTTACTTTCGGATCTCCCTAACCAGTCCTAGTTTTTGTTTTTTTCCATCTTCTCGACCCATGCTTGGTGGGAGAGGTGGTACTGGGGAATGGACCCAGGACCTTCACCCTGAACTACATTCTCAGACCTTTTTTATTTTGAGATCAGCTCTAAGTTGCTAAGTTGTCCAGGGTGAGGTTGAATTCACAATCTTCCTGCCTCCGCCTTATCGAGTGCTGGGATTACTAGTGTACAACCACAGCACTCGACTGGTCTGCTTTCATTTATATGCCAATATTTCCCCGGATTCTTGTTCTTCTCTCTGAACCTGCAGTCCTTAGATTTCTAATCCACTTTGAAGATGTTAACTGCTCCCTGGACACCAGTGACTCCTCAGTCAGTGTCTCCAACTACACTTTTTCAAACTTGGTTCAGATTCAGGTTTATCAAGTGCTGATGAGGTGAACAGTATTAGTACCTTGGCTCAGCGCTCCTGACTGCAAGCTCATCCCCCTCTCCTGCAGCTTTGCACTTCTGCTCTCCTCGCCCTGCTCCTGATCTTAGTTCATGTAGAGCTGGGCCTTGGGCTGCTGTACAGAGTGGGAACTTGTGAGTGATCTAAGACGCTTGTCTTATCCTCACTCCAAATTCCATGTCTATATCCTATCAACCGACCTTCCTTCTAAAAAGCTGTGTCTATGCCATCATTTCTGCTAGCTGTGAGCTTCAGACTTGGAGTTCATGCGAACTCTCCCTTGAATTATCCCATTATGCTCCTACCCAGACCTCTCATACTGAAACATTTCTGTGCTTCCTTGCTGCCTGAGTCAGGAACTGACCAGCATGCAAAAGGACCCTCCCTGACCAGTTCCTGCCCACCCTAGCCCTGCTCACCCTAGCCCTGCCCTCCCCTGCCACTGCCTGCCCCTCTGTTAGCACCTGCACAGATGTTTGCCACTGGCCATGGGTGCCAGGCTGATTTATGCTTCCCTGGCTTGGCTCATGCTGCTATATCTATTTCAAGTGCCCTTCTCCACATTCCTTGCCTGGCTAATTATTATACAATCTTATCTCTGCTTAGGTGTTATTCATTCAACAAACATTTACTGAGCACATAGTGTGTACCAGGCAGTGTGGGGTTCTATCACTACACTGGGCCTGTTAGGCCAAATGATCTTTTGGTCTTGCCTTTGTACTGTAAATTCCTTGTGGGTGCTGAACATGAGCACGCCCCTGTAATGCTAGCATTCCGAAAAGCTAAGGCAGAAAGATCACAAGTGTAAGCCTAGCCTGGGCAATTTAGCAGTTTAGGAAGACCTTGTTTCAAAATGATGATGATGATGATGATGATGATAAAAGATTTGGAGATGTAGTTCAGTGAGAGGGACCTCGGTTCGATTCCCCAGTATCACACACACACAATTTCCTTACAGATAGTAGGAGCTAAGTAGTGCCTGGAGTAGTGCTTAGCATGTGGTAAATTACCAGGAAATGCCCTTTAACTCAGCTAGCAGTCAGGAGCAACTGATTCCTTGTCTCAACCTAAATTTCCCCTTCTCGCAGAATCTTTCTTTGACCCTGCAGCTCAGCTCTTCCATGCTCTCCCTTCACAGAGTTTTGCACCGTTGTAACAGATTATTTCTTCTATTATTTACATTTCAGGTGTGTGTCATTTAACGATGGCAATCCATTCTGAGGAAGGGATCGTTAGGTGATTTTGTTTTTGTGTGAACATCATAGAGTGTATTTTGGCAGATTTTGACGGTATAGCTTACTACACTCCTCGGCTACACAATGTGCATGTATATAGTGCAGCCTATCATACCTAGCCTATGATGAATAAAAAAGATCAAATCAAGTACAAGAGAATATACTGCCACTGAGAGATGGTAATGTGAGATGGATGAGGCAGCTGCCAGAGTAACAGAGCATGCTGCTTTACAATAAACTTTGTTTCATAAGTAGAATTATACTCTAAAATAACATAAAAGTGTAGTAGAGCAAATACGTAAGCCAGTGTCAGTTATCAAGTATTATGTACTGTACATCACTGTACCAGCAATGCAATTCTTTACACTAACATCACCACAAACACAAGGCATTTTGCTGTGACATTATGATGACCAGGACTTCAGTAGGTGATGGAAATGTTTCGGTTCTGTTATAATCTTATGGGACCATTTTTGTATATGTAGCTCATCATTGACCAAAATGTTGCTACCTGATATACGGCTGTATTTGTTTAAATTTTATTTTCTGCACTACGCTTCAAATTCTGAGGTCCAAGATACACCTAGCACAGTGTGCTCAATGACACTTATACTATATCTAATCTATAAGTGCCTAATAGGTATCTGTTTTTTGTTTGTTTGTTTCTGGTACGGGGAATCAAACTCAGGACCTTGTGCTTGCAAGGCAGGTGCCACACCACTGAGCTAAATCCCTGGCCCCAGGCATCTGTTAATTGAAAGACTAACACATTTTCTTGCTGGATAAAAATCCTGAATGCACCGCTGTAACCTGTGGAAAAAATGAAAGCGGACTGTGTGCTGGTTAGATGTTTCACTCCATCTGCCTACAGAATGGAAATGTCCCTGTGAGATAATGTTGGAGAGCAGATGAACCTCTGTTTAGAACTGTATCAGAGCAATTATGTATAAATAAACTATACAAAAAAGAAAAGGTGGTATTAAACACATCAGCTGAAGTTCCAGATGGCCTTGAAATTCCTACTTTAGGAAGTGTTTTTTTGTTTTCCCACAAGAAACATAACCATTTTCTCCTCTTTGCCTTCCCAGCATCCATGAAGAAAGTTCCAGAGCCAAAGGTAAAACATCTATGAAATATTTAAAGTATATGACTATATTTAAAAAAATCTATAGCAGGGGCTTGTGTAGATGGGCCAGGGAGAATAGAATATTGCTAAATAAGAAAATGCATCAAGGCTCTTACAAAATAGATAAAGAATTTATAGACTTACACTTTTGGCAGAAATAATATCGATGATTTCTATATCTGCAGATGCTTTGAAAAGAAAAAAATATAAAAACAGAAAATCATCACATGTTCCTTCCGTGCAGCTCAGGGTTATTGACACACTGCACAACCTAGACCTGCCACCAAAGTCGCTCTTATTTTCTGAGTGCCCTTTCATTTATTTTTATTATTACAAAAATGATGAAGGTCTCTTTCAGGAGAAACTTCAGGCAGCACAGATGTTTGTGAATGAAAAGTGTCTCTCCTCAGAGACAACCTGTGGTCTTGTCCTTGCTGCTGTCCCCACTTCCCCACTTCTGCATGAATGGGACAGGAGGGAGGCCCCGCTGAGTGCAGCTGTCTGTGTGAGGTGGCAGAGCCCCTGCAGAGTGCCTGGCTCAGGGACGCACTTCTCAAACGTTTTGCTGTCAGGGTCCCTTTGTACTCCTGAAAGTCAAGACTGAGAAATTTGTATTAAAGCTAAAAAATATTTGTTAGTTCATTTAAAGCCAAGATGAACAAACACATGACATATTAACATAAATAACATGACAACTAACTGTATTTTTCCAAAGGAAAATGGCATTGTTTTACACTTTTGCAAGTCCCGTTGATGCCAGGCCTAAGAGGAGACAGAGGAAGTCTCAGTGTCTCATGGGAGAAGCACAGGAAAATGGCAATTGGCATCTCCTGAAAAACTATTTTGATCCCATGGGTTCCCTACTACAGTATGAGAGCCAGTGCAGCAGAAAATTTGAAATTGAGCTCCATTTTCTTTTTAATCTGGCTTTTTTTTCCCCCTCGATGCCTAAGTCAACCATGACAATTGCTGCACAGTGCTGGGGAGATCCTCAAGGAGTTAGGCAGTGACCAGGACGGAGACTTGACAGTGGGAAACACAGCTCACAGCACAGTGACTTTTAGTCTTCAGATTCCTGAGCCTCACAAGCTCCGTATGCCTGATCTCCAAGACTTAGGAGCAATTGGAGATATGAGTAAAATATTTTAGGTTTTATGGAACACAATTTTAAAATATGATTTATAAAGCTGGCATTAGTTTGATTTGAGAGACACTGGGGAAAATGTGGTGGATTGTGCTGGTGATGAAAAGGCACTGTTGGGATGGGGGTGTCCCTGGCATGGTAGTATTGAGCAACGAGTGGCCCAGTTGCCATTTCTGTGTCTCAGCTCCTCACACCGATGGACACCTACCTGCTGATGATAATCATTGCTTCTGGTGTGGGACTTGCACTCCTGGCATTGCTCGGGGTGTTTCTTCTGCGAGGTAAGGCAACGGGGCAGGGTGAGATGGAGCCTTAGGGGTGAGTGACTCCAGCAAGATCTCAGAGCGGGCTATTCTGCTTCCTGTCCGCAAAGAAGCTTGGTCCTCTCACAGCCCCTGTCTAGACCAGGGAGGTAACCATAAGTTAATAGTGGCTTTTTGTATTGTTCCCCCGGGCAGACTTTACATTTTGCAAAAGTAAAAGCAAGAAACAGAGCACCTTCCTAGATGGGACATTTTGTCCCAGGTTTATTAACTACCCCGATTCCTCCCACCTTCATTTCTGCCTTACTAAAAGTGCTAATTGTTGTTTTCATCTTGCGGCCTAAGAACCCTTGGAGTCCTCTCTTCCTTTTGCTAGGACTGTGCCATGAATGATCTTGGTCTTATGTGTTACCTAAAAACAGATTTTCTTAACCAAGGGGCCACAGATGGCTTTCAGGGGAGATGTGAAGCCCTGGAAGTAGTTTGTGAATGTGTTCATTTGTCCATGTGTGCATTTTCCAGTGCATGGGGCCTGGAGTTCTCATTAAATTCTCCAGCTGGCCCATGGCCTTACACTCCTCTCCCTGCAAATAAAGTTTCAAAACACTGCAAAAAGGAGCCGTGAAATAGAGATGGTGGTTTTCATGCATAAACAGGCACATGGCACCTGGTACCACTCTAAAATGGAGAGGAATTGTTGTTTCTGGGAAGTTGGTCATGAGATGTGACTAGTAACTGTTTCAGCTATTCTGAGCAGGAGGGAAATTTGCATAGCCTCCCACCTACCCCAGGTGAACACTGCAAAAGGAAATTTAGAACTCACTGAAAGCCTACTACTAACTCTCATACAAAGTCACGGTTACAGCTTTGGAAAATTTTGGATATATCTCATAAAGAGTTTTAAAACCCACATGTTACTGGAATTCTGGTTAGGCGAATGACTCCTAAATGAAACAGCCTGACACTGTGGCCCACAAAGTTGGACCGGCTTTGTAGTTAATAGGCCCTGATTAGGGGCTGAAAACAGCAAGCACTGGACCAGGGAAAGGACAGCTTTCCCTGCCACGGGTCCCTAACTCGCCTTTGGCCCACACGGGACCGAGGGCCCCCCCCACTCCAACAGCAGCTTCTGTACTCACGATGTGGCCTTATCTTTTCAGGAAAAGTCATGAAAGCCAACTGTTTGCAGAAACACAAAAGGTAACTTGTCTCACGTGACTGATTATTGTAATCCTAGATAAGCTGCTACAAATGCTCATACGCTGCTCAGTGGTTTACTACTTGTGCTTGGGTTCTGACTGAACTCAGGAGTGGGGAGACATGGCATTAGAGGCGAAAAAGACATGGGGATTTACCTCAAATTAGCATCTGTCTTGGTTAACCCTGTATGTCTATCCAAAGTGAAAATATAAAGGCAGGTGGCAGTAATAGTGGTATTGCTGACTAGATAATGTGAAATAGGAAAAAAAATTGTTCAGAGGGAAAGGGGAACTAGGGAGGGGGAGGGGGAAAGGAAGGAAAGAAAAAGAAAAAAGTGAGAAGAGAAGAAAAACATGGAAAGAGCTTTGGCAGATAAGGAGGAGAAGAGGGGTTGAAGGGAGAGGAGAGGGTTGGGGAATAAAAGAGGACTCAAGATACATCACGTACAGTTACAAATTCCCCATGATGAATGTGATCATTATGTATGTCTAATTTGCACCAATAAAATTTTAAAAATAGAAGTATTGCATGTAAAAAATAAAAGATAAATGACAGAAAAAAAAGAAGGTGATATATCACTGCTCTGCTCTAGATTTGTTCAGCTCTGGGTGACTCACTTTTAAAAGCACATTGTTGAACTGGTGTTCACTGCGAAGTGTGGATGATGAAAAAGTTAGACTGTTATTCCTGGGATTTGGTTCCTCTGCCCAATTAGACCATAGAGCAGTTATTTTGATTTTGCTATTTAACTTAAAAAATAGAAGTCCTTGAAGAGTCCCTGGAAATGGATCATGGATATCTATCCTGTTCTATAGCTTTCTGGGAAAGCAATATAAAAATTTGGTGTAGGTTTTTGATGAAGGCCATATTTTCATTATTCAGTTGTATTAGTAGCATAACATTTGTTATTGAACAGCACTAACAAGCAGAGAAACTGAGGCCCGGCAGGTCACCATTCAATGTCATAAGTGGAGGTCGTTTTGGTAAATAAATGCATTCAGATCATGATTTTATATTTTGTGAAGAACATTGTCTTCTCTTCTGATAATACTGTGCATTGGCAAATAAATACCTTCATGGCCTGCAGCCTCAGGTTCCATTTGGAAAAAGACTGGGGCTGGATGGACTCTGAAATTTTCACTCAGTCTTTGGTCAGTTGCATAGTAAATCAGCAGCATCTGTGTTCTGTTTCCCCCCCAGTCTTGCTGTTCCCTTTTCTCAGCCTGCCTCGTCTCTTTGCAGCCCACAGGACCTGGGAGAAAGCCAAAATGCCCTCAGTGACGTGCAGCATGAAAGGGAGGATGAAGATGGCCTCTTCACACTCTGACTCACTCCTCTCTTAGCTCTGTGGGGCAGGGGAATGGCATTTGGAGTGTCCAGATAAGTTTTGGGATGTTTTCATTTTTTAAAAAAGTCTCACCTTTTCCATTGTTAGCATTAGCCCCAGTCTTGTTTTCATCTCTCCCCTGAAAGGTTTTTTCGGTACTGGGAATCGAACTCAGGTCCTTGTGCTTGCCAGGCAGGCATGGTGCCACTGAGCTAAATCCTTGGCCCTAAAAAGTACTTTAGAGACCACGTTTTCTTTGCCCCACGCTTAGTCAGCTCCTCCATATCACTGCTAAGTGATCTTTCACATTATGCATGAAAATTCTCAGTGATGATGAACTCTTTACCACACATCTTGTCACCACTTCAGACTGGAGAGTTTCACTTGAGATTCAGGCAGCCCACGGTAGAGACACGGAACCATGCACTAGGTTAAACATCTTTTCTTCAGCTGCTTAGCCACAGTCCACCTGGTCAGCTGCTCTTGTGGCCCCCAGCTGGTAGTCCTCGTGCCCCTGGCCCACCCATGCTCGCAGCAGTCCTCTGCTACTTAGTTTACATTTATACCAAAGTACACAAAGGTGGCCATGTGGCAGTAACAACCTCCGTTATCTAAATGAGGCACACCGGCCAGCGCTGACCTTGGTTGTAGAAGTCATTCACGTTGGAGTACTGGGAGATGCACCTGCTCTGGCTCCTGTTGACACAGAGCCCATTGCCTCCCTGGTCCCCTTCACTCCACAACCTCAACCAGAGTGCCGCCATCTTGGCTTTTGGGTTTCCCTACACACCCATGGTAGTTCATTTGATATTAGGGCAATTCTAAGGGTAAGAAATATTTAAACAAAATCTGTCTCCAGATAGCATTAGCTTGTTGGTTTTAGCCTCACACATTGTGCTTACAGAACATGACTGTTACGGTTTGTGTCTAGTTGTCCCCCCAAAGTCTCATGCAAATGAAATGGGGCTTTTTTTTTTTTTTTTCAGAGGTGGCTGAATCTAGAGTGTGTGATGCTGGGAATAAGGGCGTGTGATTACCAAATCAGTCCACTGATTGGTTTGGCACTGCTCTAATCCTCATAGTCTAGATAGAGTAAAAGGGCAGAAAAGCCGCTAAGGTCTGTTGTTGCTTTTATTACCCTGTGGATGCCATGAACTGTATCTCCTCTGGAAGGCCTGTCTGGCATGCCAGCCTGCCTTGGAGCCAGCCAATTATGGACTGAAAGCTCTACAAACTGTAAGCTAAATAAACCTTTCCCCCTTCAACTTTGGGTGTTGGGTATTTTGTCTCAGCAATGAGACAAAGGAACTAAAAAAATGACTAATCTCTTTTCTACCTGGTAGTTCTCCTGAGAGGGAAGGAGAACCTTGTGTGCCTCTAAATTGCCTTGCTTCTGGGACACAGTATGTACCACTCCTTTCCTGCCAAGCTTTCTGAGTTCAGCACCTGACTCCAGGGTTCAGTAGGAGCTGCACCGGTCTGTTTCATTACTAATGCAAGCAATGATGGGAAATCACACCAGATCTTTGACTCGCTTCTAAAAGTCCCCTGTTTTATATTATCTTCTTATCACATTTGAATGTCTTTAAAGGTGATCGTGGTGTCACACCTTAAATCTTACTTGGGAAGTTTAATTTTGCAGACAACAGAGGGTCCATCAGAGCACAATGCGGTGATGACAAGGATGGTGCCTGGATGTGACAGAGATTCAAGTAAATTTCTCTAAGTGTAATTAATTCATGGCCATTCGCTCCACAATAAGAACAAGTTTATTTTAAATCTTTAATAACTACTAGAATGAGGAACCCTGTGAGAGAGATTAAAGCAAACAATTATTGAAGGAATGAATGTAAAAAGTATGCCGGAGTGGTAGATGCTTCTGGCTGGCTAGTGGGCAAAATAAAGCAGATCTGAAAGGGATTTCTCAGGAGGTACTGCCAGCATGTTTAGGGCAATAACAGCATTAATAGAAAAATCATGCAGTTCTCCAAGTAAAATATTTCAATTCCCATAATACTACCTTTATGGGAAAGCAAAAACCAGTCTCATTACTTGAGTGGTACAGCCTGTAAATTCTTTGCTTCTAGGTCACACAGTACACTCCAGCAGCTAATAAAAAATCCCCCTGTCACCTGGGTATCTGAAGATCACCAGGTCCAGAGCAGCCTGGCTCATTTTTTAGGCTTTGCATAAAATGACAATTTTGGCCTAAGCAACAGAAACAGCTAATAGTGCTTTGGTGGCTCCTTCTTTGTTTTCATTGGCTTGAGCCATTAGCTTAAGATTCTAATCATAACCTTGACTAGTGTGCTAAACCCAAACATTTATTTAGAAACTGAAGAAGAAATGAGTCTAATTCCAGGTTCAGGGCCCCAGTTTCCCCATCTGCAAAATGGAGTGGGGCTAGATGCTTTGATCTAGGTGGTCAGGCTGTAGTATTTTACACCCCACCCTAACTCAGCTCAGGCTCCCTGCCCATCTTGCAAAACAGTCATAACCATCACTACCAATTGGAGTCTAAATCATAAAAGAAGACAGCAAATATCTCCTAAGCAGAACATTGAAGCCCAAAGTGTATTTTTGTGCTTTGCAAGGGACCATCTTGAGTCCTTTCTGAAACTCCTGGGTCAGACTAGAAACCTTCACAGACACAATCATGGTATTTGAGGAGTGTCAATGGCCTCCAGGAGCCTCTGACTGAGCAGTTTTCTGTGTAAGGGAACACTGCAATCAACTGAGCTTTTAGAAATGCCAATTCCCGAGTTTCACCCTTAAAGAGATTCTTTTGTAAGTATTCTGTAGTGTGACTTGGGTATCTGATTTTAATTTTTAAACATCTCAAAATAATTTTAAGGTGAATCCAGGGCTTCTAACCCATTTGAACTGTTGTTCTGGCCTGGTAGTTCTCAAACTGCACTTTTTTTTTGACACTGAGATTGAACTCAGGGATTTCACACTGAGCTACATTTTCCCATTCCAAACGCCTTTTTGAGACAGGGTCTCACTAAGTTCCCCAGTCTGAACTCAAACTTGAGATCCTCCTACTTCAGCCTCCCAGAGTACTAGGATTACAGGCACAGACCAGCAGCCTCAGAATAATCTTGAGGTTGTTCAATATGCAAATTATTACCCACTCCTTTGCCTTCTGGATCAGAAATTCTGGGGGTAGACCCAGAGATCTGTGGTCTACCAAGTTCTCTGGGTGATTGTGATTCACGTTAGTGTTTGAGAATGATTATAGTATATCGTAGTTATTCCTAACAACTGGATTGAGATTACAAGGAAAGATTCTCCCTGTGCCAGGGATGTACCATAGTGAGCCTGGCTGGACAGAGGTGATAAGGAAATAATGCACAACGTGGGAGGCCTTTGTCTGTTCTCAAGGGGCCCCCCCCCCCATGTTTTTGGCAGGAATCATGTTTTGTTAAAGCCACCTGTACTGCAAATGTAACTGTTCGAGCAATGCAATTATTTAAGTGTCCTAACAGCAAATGGAACTGTTCAAGCTTCAAGATGTTTCTACCCAATATTTCAAGATGTTTTGTTAACTCCACCCTTCTGCTTCTATAAACATGCTTAACTTGCATGTGAAACCAACCTCCCTACACCATGGAGCTCGGTATAAGGTTGCTCCCATTTCTCTTTGGGGCTCAGACTCTGGAGTACGAACTCTTTTGAGCCTGCCAGTGTAATAAAGTTTCCCTCCAACTCTCCGAGTGCTGCTGGACTTCTTTGCCGCCAGAGACCTTTAGAAAATTGTAACACTTGGGTGTAACACAGAGCTGTCACACTTTGCTGTAACAAGGGGACCTCCTGATTTGGCATCCGTTTCTGCCTGGACCCTTGTAATAACTTTTTTTACTCCTTCTCTCGTTGACGGGACCCGCCGTCACTAGTCGATCAGTACCTGAGAGGAGGGGTGAGGACGAAAGAAAAAACACACTTAAAAAGAAAAAAGACAGAGTCGTCCGGGCTCCTAAGACCAAACAACCAAGTTTATTTTTTCCTCTCTCTTATACACTCCGTGAGTTAGGTCATTAACCATGACCTTTATCCAAAACACCTGCTTTGTTGTTTACCAGTTCTTTGGGAATTCCCCACCCTCATGGGCTTCCTTGTTTCTCGGGCTTACAGAACGTTCATCACGTTCCAAGGCAATCTAATTCGGCAAGTACGTGGTTCCTCATAACATAGTCTCCTTGCTCTATATTATGGAGGGTAAGATTAAACATGGATCCTCTATGATTAACACCGCTCTCCACATCTCGTCTAATTAATTCTCCATGCAGTGACAGAGATCTCTTTCCTCAGTGAAGATCTGAAATTTCTATCTCCTGACTTCTACCCCTATCTGCAGCTCTTAGACCGCCACAGAATGAGCACATCTAGAATGAGCACTGGTAGCTTCAGAGCCAGGCAGTTGAAAAGGATATGCAACCTGTGACAAGAGGAGTGTGAGTCCAGTTAAAAGCAGGGAAATTCACAGCTTGTTAGAACAGTGTCCTTCCTGGGCAAGCAAAATATGGCTGTGGGCCAGAACAAGGCAACCACCTTGAGACTTGAGGGAAAGAGTGGGTTTTATAAAGTAAGGAGTTAATTCTAAAATATATATAATGCCTACCCTAAGACTCCTTGGTCAGAGGAGGTTGTCAGTGTGGTTATTCCTTGCATTCTCTTTGTGTAACAAGATGAATGAGTAGCCCCTACAAACAGCTTTTTAGTATCTATTTTGTAATGGAGAAGGGGAGGCCAGGAGAGAGAAATGCTTCTGTCATGAGAGGTTAAAGTCTGAGACAAACGCACTGGGGAAATGGAGTCAAACAGAATTAGGTTGTTCTTCCATTTCTGTAAGAAAGGACTTTGATGCAGTGTTTGGCTCTTACAGCTGATATTTATAATGTAAATCCACAATCAAAACTTGAGGATTTGAAAACAACTTCAACCTTGACCTTGGCCTTTCTAAAGTAAGTAACATAATCTTTAATGGACATTTTATGTTCTTGGTACTGTGACAAATGTTTGAAAGCAGTTGTCTCATGGAATTCCAGAAGCAACTCAGTGACAGGTATGTCATTCCTGTCATTGAAAGGACATGTCCAAGGTCACCTTGTCCAACCTCCTAGCAGAGTCAGGCCTGAAGGACCTTACATTCATCACATGACCCTGAACTTCACATTTGAGGGATCTAATTTATGATCTCAGGCGCATGCCACTGGGGTACTGACCTGCATTGGACTCCGGGCAACTTGAGTTTGCTCAGATCCACAGCAACCTGAGAATATTGATGGTTCTCCATTCCCAGTCCCTCTACCCCAGCCTTCCCTGTCCCATATTACTGGCTCAGAACCTGATTTGCTTTTGCAGAGGTGGTGCCAAGTAGAGAATCTGGCAGGAGCTTTAGTGAAGTCAGGTGGGACCCATTTCAATGGGAATGTGTTGAGCTAACTCAGAAAGAGCCGAAGCCAGCTGTCAGCAGGCTTAATGAAAGGTTAATAGGAAACCACCAATGACTGGCTGGGGAGACTCTTTGTCTCTCTAGAGAAAAGAAGTTGAGAAGTGGACTCCCTGCATGGAGAAGAGCAGAGGTAGGAAGTCACTTGAAACCACAGGACTAAATCTGGAAATAGAGTTGCATTTAGATTTGTAAACATGTTACAGTCTGAGAAAGAAAAAAAGAATGAAAGAGCCCACACGAGTTCTCAGCTTTCCAAGCATGAAAGGACAGCAGAGGGAAGTGTTATGAAACAAGAATTTGATACTGTTTTGAAGGTCCTTGGCCACCCTGAGTGGCTGCTCAGCAAGCACAAGGTGAGTGCACTGCTTGAGCTGTCCAGATGTGGTCTCAGCCCTGTGCATTATCCATGGTACATGTGGAGGAGTGGGAGAAGGAAGAAAGACCCTTCCAGGGCTTTCCATTCAATTCTCATTGTTCAGCTGTACAAACTGAGGCCAGACAGGGCCAAATAAGTTGCTCCAGGCCACACAGTCATACAGTTCTGGAGCAGGACCCTATTCCCCAAACTTGTCTCTGTGACTACGTCACAAGCTTGAGTATTGGATTTCTTCCAGGTTCACGTGGATCTGGCTGATTATTGCCCTATACATTAATCTGTGAAGATCTTATGGGCACAGTCATGTGGGTCAGCCTTTCTTGTCCTAACTGTAGCCACCAAGCTGCCTCTGAGAGGCTCCCAGATGCGTTCCACATACTCCCAGAGAGACAACATGGAATGCAGATATCCAAAACCCAGTTTCTCTGTTGTTCTCTTACCACTGTGACTATGATGACCAACTTTTCTGGGTTTGCTCAGGAGTTTTCCATTTTTAAAACTTAAAGTCCTGTGTGCTGGAAGACCGACCCCATGCCCAAACTGTGATAGTTGGCCAATCCAAGCCAGTAACTAGAGATCAAAGACAACTACTCTCCTGGTTCTTTTACTCATGAACCTTGCACTTTGTTAGTGATTGTTTTTCCTGTCGCTCTAGTTGGACCCAAGTAGAATATCATTTGCTCAGATTCTAAGTTAGAATAGAAAACAAAACGGATGTATAGTCTAAATGAGTGGTGGTGAACCTCAGGCACGTGTGCTGCACCAGGCTGTTTGTATCATTGAAAGCTCTAAAAGGTTCACCATCACTGGTCTAGACCCTTGCTATTCAGAATGTGGGGCTCACACCAGCGGCACCATCATCTAGGAGCTTGTGAGAGTGCAGACTCCCAGGGTGTATGCTCAACCCACTGGATCTAAATCTGCAGGGTAACTTTGAAGACCTCAGGCAACTCATATGCACATTAAATTTTGGCTGTACAGTACCGCCATCAGTGTGACTGCATGTTGGAGTCATCTGGGGAACTTAGAAAAGACTGATGCCAGTTGCACGGAACATGACTAATCAGCCTGCACCCTGGCAACAATCCACTGGACACTCGCCCCACCCCACCTCATCTGTACAGCCACCTGGTCCACACTACAAAGACGCAGAGGACACTGGACCACCAGACCACAGTACTCAGTCCCGCCACTCCTGGCCCAGAGGTAGGGGCTTCTGAGACGCTGTCCCACTGCTCCTGGTCCAGAGGAAGGGGCTTCCCAGCCACCATCCCTCCTGCTGCTCCCAGCCCAAAGGAAGGGGTTTTTAGGCCACCATCCCTACCGCTGCTCCTGGCCCCTGTCCCACCTCTCCCAGCTCAGAGGAGGTAATCCCTGTAGGTGCCAACAGAACCCCACCCCCCAGTTGAAATGAGAAAACACATAAATAAGTCTCAAAACCAGACTTCCACATCACCAACAGCAACCCCAAAGGGAAATGAGATGGAATACTCTGATACTCAACCACCT